TTTTTGTCTCTCTATGAATGCTTCTTAACTATTTATTTGTTTGGCTAAGTCACCATAAGGATATCAAGTCATCCCTATTCAGGATACATTTTCAAAGGAGAATCTTATCCAAGTATCATGATGCAGGCCTACCTGTAATCCCTACACTTCAAAGACTGAGGATAGAGGAACAAGTGTTCAAGACCAACCTTGACTATATGAGTCAGTCAGTCTCTCTCTCTCTCTCTTCCTCTCTCTCCCCCCTCTACCACTCTCTTTCACACACACACACACACACACACACACACACACACACACACAAAGGGAATCATTAAAAATTATAAGAAATAGGAGAAAGAACAGCAGAAAAGTACTTTGATAACAAACAAGGCAAATCCTCTTGAGCTAAATCAATCATCTTTTCCAATGCACTTCTGTAAGAATTTGAACCCATTCCCAAGAATTTGGCAGATCCCATAACCTCTTCTGACTCAGGAAAATATGATCCCTACAAATGAATACCACGTGACGGCATCACTTCCCTCCTTCCAACAACTGTGGGTGTCTTTCAAACTGATTTTTTAAAGATAGCTATATACAAAATTAGATTTAGAGCACCCCAAGCTAATCACTTGCCTCAGGCCTTCACAGGGAAGTTTTTTAATCCATCGTTTTCTCATTGCTTTACAGGAAGACAAGAAGCAGGCCTAGTGGAGCTGGCGATTTCCCTAGATTTCTCTCTAACTGTCCTGCCTTATCTGTGTTTCAATATTATCATCAAGGCTCCCAGAGAATAGAAAATATATCTTTTGTTGTTATTTATTTTCTTTTTCTCTTGTTACTCGGGTTCAAACCCAGGCCATGTGCATGCCAGGCATGTGCTCCACTATTGAGCCACATTAACAGCTATGTGTAGAGTGAACAAATTATTATACTAGCGGAGAACACTGACACAGGCACGCACTTATCTTCTCAAGGACACTGAGGCTGATGCAGAACTAAATTAAGTGCCTTGAATATATCTAATCTGTCTCTTGCCTTCTATTGCCTACAAAACAGTATTTTGTAAGTGTCATATGGGCAGTATATTTTCTCGATTCTTCTCCTTCATATAATGAGCTTTTATGTTGCCTCATGAGCTTTCAGGAGTTTTAGCTTGATCTGATTTAGTTTTACCCGGTTACCCTGCTCTAAGTCAGGATTCACATTGAAGCAATTTGGTAACACTAGCCTGGTATTAGCAAGCTGCCTCTGTCCTTTGCCAAAACGTCTGTGGTCCGCTGGTAGATATTAAAAGACTTAAAGAGTAGAACACCGCCTCTGGAAACTTGCTGCCTTGGGAATAAAGCAACTTCCAAGGCTTCTACCTTGGGAATTTAAAAATCCATATAGTCATGAAGGAATGAGTGAAAGACAAACTACAAGAGGTCACCCCGTTTCGATTTGGTATGTGGTCAAAGTGTCTTCTTTTTGAACATGCTGGATAAGGCAACCAACACCCACTACAAAGAGACTGCACTGTCATAGGCATAAAATCTTCATCCTTCGATGAAATGTTTTTCAAATAATTTGATAGTCCAATATCAGAGCACTCTGGGAAATGCCTGGGTGCATATGTATTTTATCATATTAACCATAAGTGTACACATAGTTTACCGTCATAGACTTCACTCAAATGTATAACATCTTAACTATTATATAAGCTTAAACTTCATCAACAGAGTCCAGCTGGTTAAAAATATTGGAGAGTGTTAAACATATCAATGTTTGTACACAAGACATCTTCCTTTACTACTGGAAAGGAGGAATCTGGTGTATTATGTGGTAGAGAGATGATATAGCATAACTTATCTTTAGAACAAAACAAAACAAAAAGCCAAATAAATTTAGTAGTAAGGGACATAGAAAGATTGACAAGTGATAGCCCTTAGGAAGAATGCTGGTGGCAGTGGAATAAAACATTTGAGAAGTGCCTGAGAATGGGCTATCTTAACAAGAGCGCAAGTCTAAATCATCACCAGCCACTCTAATGCCGAACAGGTTAACAATTTAGCCCCTTCTTCCTCAATCTCCATAGTGTTGATTATAGCCCCAAATTCAGTTCCCTGGCTCTCCCCCAGTCCTCCCTCTCACCTGCTGTTTTATGTGTTTCTGTACCCTGTTCCCACTATGTGTACCCTCGGCATCTTCTCAATCTGAGTTTGCCAAGTCCATTTTTCCCACCCTCCCTGGAACAATCACCCAAGCCACTGCTTCAACTCTGTATTCTCCTAATGTAGCAGCTGGCCAGGAACCCAGGCTGCCTTGAGTCTTGTGAGAAGACATGCCAGACATCCATGGAAACTCCTCAGTGAGGTTAAAATTAGAGAGGATGGGGAAGCTCTCTGTGAATGTGAGACTATTGTGGTTGCTTTAGGACACAGAGCTCTTTTGACACATTTAATCACATGTGTCCCAAAAGATAACGGTAAGGAGGTCAGAAATGCATCATTTACCTCATCTGGCTGTTGGCTACCCAGGCTGTAGACTGATTTTAAGGTCTGTATCACCATGACTTGCCAGGGTAACAGATGTATTCATGCCTGTCCTAGCAGAATAGCTCTGTAGATGTCACAAGAGCATTGTTCACAGAGGAGCATGCTCACATCTGCATTGAGCTTGGAAGAAATCGAAAGTTAGGGCTTTAGGAAACCAGTTCTTGCCTGAGGTGGCCCTCCTGTGGAATGCTTTCAAGATTGGCTGCAGAAGCCTACAGGCAGGAGGCACAGAGGATTAGAAAAATGAGGTGAATGTCACGGAATGTACCTACATGCGGGCTTTCAAGAGGCGAAGGCATAAAAGAACCCAAGGGTCCTTGACTCGATACACTTATTTTCCCTGCCATCTTGGTGCAATGCAAACTAGTTACCTGAGAGTCCCTGAACTTGAAAAGCTGGGAAAAGCCTCCCCTCACCAAAAGGCCCGTTTGGAGAATGCTCTCAGAAAGCTGATTTGCAAAAACAGGCAAGAGAACTTTGCCCTGGAAAAACTCCATATTTTTGAGCAGTAAGGAAAGTTCATAAGGCCCGACCTGAGCCATTCAATGTGAGGTTACACAGAACACAGGCAGGTCTTACAGTGTCTCTCTCTTAAGCCATATCCATCAAGCATAACAAAACCTTATCTACTCATGAATCAATCTCAGTCTCCCTCATTCTCACTTTGTATCTGGAGATAGATTCTCACTGTGTATTTCCGTCTGTCCTGGAACTCACTATATAGACCAAGCTGCCATTGGACTCCCCAAAATCCACCTACCTCTGCCTCCTAACTGCTGGGTTCACAGGCATGTGTCACCACACCCAGCACAAAAGGCATTCATAAGACAGACACAGTCATTGATTCTGTGAAGGTATTACACTAAATACCCCATATCAAACTGTGAGAGAGTTAGTGAATTCTAAGATTCCATACTGAGCAGTTTTAATCCTGAATAAGCAAGGCTTTCTGGGGAATCAGGCATATCAAGGCAGTATGACAAGGCTTTGAGGCGCTGTCGTTTTCCATAATGTAAAAGTATGTTTCTAAGACAGAAGACTGAAGAAAAACACATGTTGATTTTCTACAACTTAAAGTTAACATTTCGGGCAAGTCAGACTAAAGGATATCATGGATTACATGGTCTGATCTCCTAGTAAACTTAACCCACAACCTAACTCCAACCAGTCTTTAATGCTCAATGAGAACAGCAGGGGAAATCTGTGCATCTGGAGATCTCCAGCAACTAGGGCCATTTTTAGTGAGGGGCAGGAAGCAGGGGACTAAGGAAGGCAGGGAAGACATACAAGAGCCACAATGCCATTTAGTTGCTAAAACTACAATTTTATTTTGTTTTGGCTTCATAAGGCTTTCAAATTGTAAGAAAATAAGGGCTATTACTATTGTTTTCAGAAAATGTTTCACTATGTAACTTAAGCTGGCCTTAAATTTGCTATCTTGCCCAAGTGGCTTCCTACTAGAAATCCAAGAAAGTTATTGTTTCTCTTAAAACAATTCAAATTTCAAGATAGAATTGAAGAAGATTTTAATTTCTTAGTCAATTTACACTTCATTATCACATCTTTGCTGGAATATACTCATTCCCAAAAGTTCAGTATTGTTAACTGTACTGTAGCACAATCACAACCAGCATTCAGGATTAATTCATTAATGGCAGTACAGCAGCAAAGTTTCCTCTTTTTCACAAGAACAGTTTAGTGTGGCAATAGAGAAACTTCTCCATGGAGACTAGTCAAATACATCTTTAAATCACATTTTTAATAGTTCAGGGACCCTTGTGTTTGTTAAGAGATGGTTCCATACACTCACACAAAGAGCTGGCAAATTCAGCCATACCACGTAATAATATTCTTTAAAACTAATCTCTAAGCCACAGTCAAGATCTTTACCGATGCATTCTCCTGACAGAAACTGTAACCTCTCCATGGGTCTTACTTTGTTGTCAGACCTCTGAAGCCAGCTTCCATCTCCAAACCATACTGTCAAATTCAATAGCAAAAGATGTGGCCATCAAGATGCATTTCGGACCTAAGACAAGGGACAGGTTTGACTTCCTATTGGGTGTGGGGAGAATAGGACCATTTCAGTTTCAAGATCATTGGAGGACTTCAAAATACCTGGAGTTATTCTATAGATATTTGTAAACAAGGCTTTAAAGTTCAGTAAAAAAAGAAGCTTAAGGTAGGGCTAGGTATTAGGGAAAACTTAGGGTATGAAAACCATTTAGTAAATGAATTGCAGAATGAAAATTGCCTCCTTTGATTATAATAATTTTATATTATAGAAGAAATGAAAGGAACCTGTAGAGAAGAAAAATGACATCAAAATCAACCCATTTGTGTGGGCACAGTTATAACCAGGAGCCAAAGATGGCCCTCTCTCTGTGGGAAGACTGTGTAAGCTGCATATTCAAAAGGATGAGAAGGCCAGGAGCTCCCCAGACCTCCTACTCTCAGGCTCATGTGCTACCTGAGGACACCTACCTCTTCTTCCAGCTTCACCACCTTCGCCTGGGCATTGCTCAATGCCTGGTCTCGGATTTCAATGTGTCGCCTTTGGTCTTCATTGGTAGAGCGAGCAGTAGCCAGCTCTGCTTCAAGCTTCTCTTTCTCCCGCTGGCTTTCTTTATCTGTGAGGACATGAAATATCAATATTGTCTTCCTGAAACTGGGTCAAAGCCTTAAGTGAGCAAAACTAATATGTCATATATATTAACTACTTGACAGTGTGCACTCTTCTAGAACATGGCTAAAAGAATCAAAATTTATAACATTTAGATTTTATCACTGGATCAACCACTAACTTGTTGGATAAATAAGAAGTAATGGATAAGGAGATATAAAACGTCCTAAAAAAGAATTAAGCACTACACAAAGATGAACACACATGTATACATACATACACATACAACACAGAGTAAGTTTATTTCCTTGGTTTTGTGTTTGGAAAATGTTTGGCAAAAGAGCAACTAAGCTGAACAAAATTTCCCCCACTATCTCTTTATTCCAACGTACCAAATACTCTAAATATGTTATTTCATAAAACAGAAGCAACCTCAAATCCTACTCCTTATGCAAGAACCTTTTCTCAGATCAAGACCATTAGAAAACGTGTCCTCTCTAGTGAAAGCCCGATCCAGCACCATGGCCAACCTAACTCACTGCATTTCAGTATCTACCAAGCCCGGAGTTTTTATAAAGGAAATAAGGTAAAACTGGAAGCCATCTTATATTCTTTCCTACCCTTTCTTTTGCAGGACAGATTGGGTATGGAGGGATTGTGGGAAAGAACAGGGCAGAGTATAAGGGAAAATTAATTTAGAAATATAGGCATCAATTTCATCTAAGCAAATGATTAGAGCTTTTACAGTAATAAAATATGTTTGTGTGTGTACAGTGTATTTTGCATATATGTGAACACACATGCATGCACACATGCACACAATCATATTTGGGGATGTAAATCTATGTATAATGTGTAGCCATGTATCTGTACATATGTGTATCTGTGTGTATATGTATATTTGCATTGATAAATTCTATGTCATTAGAATGGAAGAGTCACTAATTACTGATTGCATTCAGAAGCAGAGTAACGCACATAAAGATGAAAGCACTGAGAAGTCTCTGTCAAGCAGGGCAAATCAAAGATACTAGAAATGAAGAGGAGAAAGGCACGGAAATAGAGAAAATGGAATCCAAAGAGCATTCAATCCCTTATCTTTGTTCAGATAAAATTGAACAACTGAAATCTATAGCAAAATGTGTACTAGGAGATGATATAGCAAAACGATGTGGTATTTATCTCAGCCATGCAAGGGTGGTTCCATAAATACCACAGCTCTTGGGCCTAAATCTATAATAAGCCATTTAAACAGGACCTTGATTCTAACTTCTACCCTGTCTTAACCTTCCTGACTTCAACATGAAAAGCAGTTAGGCCAACTACCAACCATATTTTAAATTCTTTTTATTCTAAAATAGAATAATAGAAAATTGTGACTCCATTCTAACAGAGATTTAAAAAGCTGAATTAAAAAGAAAAGATTGAAGAGAGATCTATAGAGAGCTCTCACAGAAGTGAAATTCACAGGGCAAGCTTCTGTCCTCAAAGTAGGAGGTAGGTGGACAGAGAATCACAATTTACCGAATTAGAATTCCATGGGCAAAGACCATGGAAACCATGGGAGCTGGTTAGGAAACCCTGCATGACAACTGAGGAATCGCTAGCAGCTCAGTATGTACAAATGTGAGAGCTAATTCCTGGGAGAGGCGCTCATACTGAAACACCCACATTTTTGGAAGTTTTTTGCCACCAGGTGTTCATCCAGGGTTCTCCCAGGAGGCCAGAAAAATATGTTATCAGCAGTAGGAGGGGAAAGAACCCATCCTGAAACAGACCAGACATTTTGTTTTTCTCAACAAGACATGCCCTGAGGAGAAACTTTAACCAAAAGCTAACTTGCAGAAATACTTTGGATACTAAGCAGTCTGGAGGAACGATGACAAGGTCCATTTAAACATGTTCCAGGCCTCAGAAAAATAAACACCTGACTCTAGGCCCCTCTGATGGCACTGCAGTAAATACGGGTGGGGACCGAGCCACATTGATAAGGTTTACAATCCAAAAGCACAGACTCAAAATAAAAACCAAAAACCTAATCAAAGTGCTAGAAATCATTTCACTTGTTGAACAGCCCATGCCACATCGGAAAGGAGTCTTCTGCTCAGAACAATACAAGGCAAGTATTGTTCAAAGACTTGACTACTGCAGTCCTTCTTAGCCACCATGTAATTTCTGCTACTGAACAGCATAATCAAAATAGCAGTACTCTTTTTAAACTAAAGGACAAAATGCACACAGTTTTCTAAAAGACACGGCCTGCATCAGGAGCAGACCCAGGTAAGTCAAGGATGTTGGAATGGTCAGATCATAACTTTGAAATTAATGCCTTTGATTAATAAGCTTTAAGTTTTTAATAAGAAAATGTAGACAGTATGCAAGGTCAGGAAAGTTATAGAAGTAGAAAGACGGACATTCTAAGAAAGGATAAAAACACTTTACGGATGAAAGTATAGGCAACACTGCTGTTTTCGTTAATCCATATTAGTTAAGGATCCAATGAGATAATATAACGTATTTAAATGAGAGAAACATGAAAAACACCAAGAAAGCCTACTAAAGAGAATAATAATCACCGTCACCATAATTGATGATGGAAAAGAATCACAGTTTCAAAAATGTCTTTTACTAAGATGTGAATGATTCTTTTATATTAGTTTTTACAATGTGAAGGCTAAGTCTCACCTGTAAGAATAGCAATTTTGTTTCTGAACTTGACACTAAAAGTATAGCTACAAGGGACCTTGCCATATACAGCTATGGCTCCTCATGTTTTGCCAGGTACTTCTGTTATCTAGGACAAACCTCATGCCAGAAACTCAAACAAATAGATTTGGACCTTATCTTCATGATGCCAGCGTGGTCTCATTTCCCACTGTGACATTATATACATCGATCTGAATAGATGTACCATGAAAAGCAATGAGCATTTGCTGAATGTTCACTACATATCAGGCATTGTGCTAGCTTAATCCTCAGAACAAGGATATGAGGTATTATTCTTCTCTTCTCTAGTTTGCATATGAGGAAACAGGACTTAGAGATCAAGCATGACTGCGTTGTAAGAGCTCCCACATCTGAAAATGTGGAATGGATTCCACACTTAAGCTCAACCTATTCAAAGTCTTTTCTACTGTACCCAACTGCCTTCTGGGTTAAACTGCTTCTGTCTCTCCGGTTGCGAGAGTATACTCCCAGGGAAGGCTGTTCAAAAGAGCTTCCTTCCTTCCTGCTACAGTTCCCACCTTGCAGGAAGGTTTGGATGCCCAAAGGCAAGAGAATTAAAGGGGTCAAAAGGCATGCTCTCTTCCCCACCTAGTTTTAGAACTGCTGAGAGTGCTTCACTCTGCTGTTAATGTAATTTGGTTTAGCAAATAACTATATTTTTTAAACCCACAGCAGAGCTCCGACAGCACCTGAAATAGCATTTCCTCACAGAGAAGAGTGTAAGCTAGCAGGTCCAGGGCAAGAATCCCTATGTTTTGTTTTACTCTGGGAGACTGCCACCATCTTCCTGCCACTGAACTAGCTTCCAGGGTAACTGTGACACCACAAAAGCAACTTCACAATTTCCCCTAGGTTCTGATGACACCAGAAAAACAGCATTCCTCACTCTTACACTACCGCCAAAGGACTGGGAGGCTCAGGGCAAAGAGGAAGAACAAAACTGTTCAGAAGCCAGAGCACAACAGAGTAACCCAGGCAGGGATGGGAATATTGGAAGTGAAGATCAAACAGACTTGTAAAAGCTAACTGGAAACTGCACAGAATGACATGAAAGGGTCACTGGGAGGCCCAGCAAAAATAAAAGAGTTTGACAAGTCCCCAACAAGCAGGATAGCAGTGGGAGCTGCACTGAGGGAGGCTGGGGCAGGGCAAAGCCAAACTTAGGCATCTGCAGAAACAAGGACAGTTCATCTGTTCTCAACCCAATTTATTCTCCCAGCGGACTCAATCTACTATGAAGTTTTTATTGTTGCTTTTATTATAGCAATTGGAAAGAATTAGGCATTGTCTTGCTGGGTGGAGTCCATTAGGGGCCGATAAAGAAGAGGATTAATTCATTGTTACAGTCCTAGGAGTATTTCCAGACAAAGGAAACCCTATTATGAGGAAAGTACAGCTCTGCCCAGCCCTGTACCCTCCAACTCTGCAAGCAGAACCATGAATTCAGGTCATAGCAGAGCAGAGGCCCGTCTTTCTCTGACTGTCTTCACAATCTCCCAGTGGGTAATAATATGATACAACAGTAAGCGTTTAATAGGGGTGCAGGCTGGGGATTCCAAACATTAACCATTGTCCTGCATGCCCATCCCATCTACCAGAGCCAGTATATGGAAGCACCTACAACGATCCCTTCAGCATGAATAAGGACGAGATTCCCTAAGGTCTTGTCTCAGCCATGACAATGGTGGGGACCCAAGTGGGCTTTTTCTGACTTAGTCCAGAGAGTAGTGTGACTGGAGGTTGTGGCAGCAGCCTTCCTGGTGTTTCATGAAGCAGCAGAAGAAAGACATTCATTCTCTCCCGGTTGTTTGGAGAAGGCTAAAGAGTCAGGCACCATTGTCATAAACTTTTCTTCTATCCACACCAGCAACATTTCCAGAGCAGTTACCGCCCATCCACACATTCATACCTGCCTGTAGCGTTTCCAGACTTACTTTTGGCAAAGAGCTGAGAGATGGTTTTCCTGGTGTCCTCTGAGCCTTCGTACTCCTTTTCTGCCAGCTGCTTGTTGGCAGTCTCTAGACGGTCTGCGGGATGTGCAGAAAATCAGCAGGGCCTTACACATACCCTTCCAAGTGCTTGGTGTTTGTCTTCTAAATACTGGCCTTTGGCAAAAGGCAGCATCTTTTTTTGACAATAAGGATGGGTGACACAGACCTGAGTTTGTAAATGTGAATCTCAAAACAGTAAAAGACCTAGTAAAGCAAGAGCCAATGTAGGGAATGCATGCTTTCAAGGGTCTTATGGGCATTATGGAGTGCAAAGCCAGCAAGGACAATGTAGTAAGTTCTAGGCCAGCCTAAACTATGTAGACCTTATCTCAAACAAACAAACAAACCAACTACCAAGTTACTCTCACTAGTCCCTTACCTCTCAGATCTCTGTTGAAGTCATGCATCCTTCGAATCTCACCCTCCAGCTTGTTCCTCATGGCTTTCTCCAGATTCTCTCTTTTAGAAGATGACTTCACCAAATTCTCATATGCCTCTGAGACCCGCTGAATTTCTGTCTCCACCTTAACATTAAAAAGAAAGATGGTGTTGCTGCTAAAAGTTTAATGGGAAAGACAGTTTAGAACCGTACATACAATACTTCAGTGGCATCTTTTTTCAGAATTTACATATGGCCAGGAAGCAAGTGTAACATATTTAAGAACTAGGTTTTCAAAAAAGACTGTGGGCTCAGTAAATGATTTGTCTGCTTCATAGGATTTCCATAGGACAAAGGTGTGCATGTGTGTGTGTATTTCTGTGGGGGTGGAGTCGGGGCTGGGCACTGTGATTTCTGCCTCATGGAAGGCAATAAGATAAAATAGACTTCACACGATTTTAATTTCTATTTTTTTCTGATTTTGAAAATATTAATAATACTGTATATTGTATAGCAATAACTTTCTTTTGAAGCCCTCAGAGCACTTCTGTGTGGTTCTCTCATTTTGCCCTGACATCTGCCCAGGCGATGTAACTTGACCCATGTTAGCAGAGAGAGTAGTTAAATCACCTTTACCAAGAACAAATCAGCAAATAGTCAGCCTCATGCAGTATAATTCAATTCAATTCCCTTTCACAACTAGCCAATCAGGATTCAGACAGTCAAGAAGACACAATTACGCTGTCAAGTGTGCAAATCTGAGCGAGAATGTCCACATTATCCTCTCCTCCACTACAATCAAGCCAGAAAACTTAGGGCCAGACACAGCCAGAAGGGAATAAGGAGCAATGCAAAAAAGAAAAGAAGTTATCCCTGGTTGGGGGAGGGGAGGAAAATAATTTCAGGGAGAGATGGCATTTGGAGTCAGATCCTGAAAGTGGGATTGGATTTCAATGGGCAGAGGTGAGGGGAAGGGTATTCTATTCTGAGTAAGCAAATGCATTCCCAGAGTGGCCAGGAGTCTCATTTGACTGGACACTGTGTGGTAGCCACAGGGAAGCTAGAGGGATATGGCTGTGAAGATAAGTGCAGTCAGGTCATAAAATGGTTTCAAATGTCAGGCATTTGGACTTTATCCCGCAGTCACCAGAGTCAGTTGGAAACTCGTACCGATTTTTAACTCGAATTCATAATTTGTGTGGTTTTATGACACTTCTCTGCAAGTCTTATAAAATGAGAAGAAAAGACCAACGCTCTTGTCCAGAATTAGCCAGAATCAGGAAGAAAAGACGAAATTAGACTCTAGAGTTTCTCTGCCACCAGTCCAGCTCCCGTGCACGTGTAACAACCGCAGAGATTATTTGCATATAATTTGTATAAGACAAATAAACCCCATGGCCTATTAAGCAATTTTCAAATTAAGGCTGACTCCTGTAACCACTCTGCATTTCGACTCAGCTTTCCACTCTTCCTAAACAAAGCTCACGTGCTTTGGGAGGGGGGTGATAAACAGGCGCCCCAATTGAGGGTGGAGGAGGAGCGGTTGGGCTACAATCAGTTCCAATTCCAGCTGCCCCCATCTTCAAAATCCTGCTGGAGACAGAAGTGCCTGCAAACAAATGAGGCTCACTGAAAAGAGCAGACTTGAAAGTGTTTTTCTCCTTGCAGATGGCACCAAGATAGCAGCACAGAAGGTGAAAACTGGCGAATGGCATTTAGAGACAAGATCTGCAGGGCCTGCGCCTGGTGAAGGCTTTTGCAGGAAATTCAAGTGCTGCAGAGGAGAAAATAAACATTTCCATTTGAAAGAGCAGGCTTGGTGTTGGTCTGCAAGAGGCAGCCAAGAGAAAGTGAGTGAGACTTCCTACTTGCTGCCCAGGGCCCAGAGAAGGCGGCACCTAGAAGACAGCCCCTATCTCCAAGTACACACATAGTCTGCCTGGGAAGAAGCTGTTGCTAATCCTTCTCCTTCCCCTTCCCCTTGTGGAGATACTGTCCTCTTACTAAGAGCAGTGCAACAAGGCCTTCACAGAAAGGCCAAGAAGGGCCGATCCAATGACTTGGTGTGGGTGGTAGAAGGCCTGGAAGACAGGGAGAGTGGTGGTGGATTTCAAGATTGGCTTGTTCTACTTTCTGTCCCCAGGAACCCCCAGTGCTCACTCGCTCACTCTCCTTCCTTCCTTCCTTCCTTCCTTGCTACCTTCCTTCCTTTTTTTCTTTCTTTCTTCCCCCTCTTTTTCCTTTCCCTCCTTCCTTCCTTCATTTCTTCTTTCCTTTTTAGCTCTACTATCTGGTGTATACCATATTTTTCCTTGCATTTTCTTCTCCCCTTTCTGTTCCTTTTTCTCTACCTCGGCATTGGCTAGAACTGGCTTCTCCAGACGCGCAAGCTATGATGATTGTGTTTTTCTGACATACGTCAGTACAAGGACCAAACAATAAAGAAAATTCCTATTTTGCTCTCTGCCCTAGTCATCTGACCCAGCTGCTAGTGTCACCAGGGATCCTTGACAAAGATGATCTGAGCTCAGGAACCAGTAATTATGTCATAGATAAGGCCAGGCCACCCAAATTAAAAGTTAGAGGAGGTCGAACCAGCTAAACAGGGTTTCTAGTCAATCGACAAAATTCATTTATAGCATTAGTGCAATGTGAGAGAGGGGAATTGTCAAACTGAGAAGAAAGAAAATATAAAATCAAGACAAAATAATAGCTCTCCATCTATCCCAATAGCCCTCAACCGGATCTGAGGAAACTGAGAAAGGGGGCATCTCTTCCACATAAAAACCACTTCACTATGGAAAAAAATAAGGCTGCTTCTCCTTTAGGTAAAAGATCTGCTGTTAGCACATTCTTAGTTTTGTACAGGTCCTGAAATTTCCATTCTTGTTGTCTCCTAGGGATAGAGCTGCTGAACAATACAAGGCTACCATCCTTCCCTCCCCACCTTTGGCCGCAACTTCCTGAACAGTCAGCAAGGAGATCATGTCACATGAACTCCTCAGGGTCAAAAGCTACAGAGGAGCCGAAGGCAGAACTCTATTCACTCTGCCACCCAGGCAAGAACTGAGGTTCGGTCCTCAAGGCCCTCAACTGCTGAATTCCCAGCTGCAGCAGAAGGTGGGGGTGAGGGAACAGGGAAGAACGGGAACTGGGGACACACACTCCTTTTTCTATTTCTTCTGCCTAGGGCTGTCACCTGTCACCCAGCTGTGGCGCTAAGCGCCTTTTGTGTGTCACCCTCAACACACACACACACCAGGGAAATAGAGCAGATGCCGAAGCGGATCTGTGCAGAAAGACCAAAGCAAATGTGGGGAGGAGGGCTAGTGTCAAAGAAGAATTTGGAAGAGAAGTCCCACAAGGAAGAGCACTGTCAGCTTTTTCCTGAGCCATACAAAATCTCAGCTGGTGGGATTTTTCTAGAAACTATGAACTATGGCTTTATACTTTTGACTCAAAATCATATGGGGAAAATATAATCAAGACAAAAAGCCTTTAAATGCTGGCAGGTTTTCCATGAGCACAGACCTTACTAATATTCTTTATGAAGAAGTATATCTGATGACTTTTTGAATAAAATAATGAACCAAGTCTTTCTTTAGGGTTATAGAGTCTGGGACATCTATAATATTTTTCTTTTAGTATAAAAGCCAAATGTTATCTCTCTTAAAGAAAAAGGGGGAACAAAAGATGGTAGCAAGTGTTTATATAATACAAGTACATGATAAGCATTGTGAAAATTTCATCATGAAGTCCATTGTTTTGTTCTTAATTTATGATAATAAAAAAAGTTAGTTATCCTAGACAGACAGACAAAGCTTTTACATAAAGTTTGAGCAACATCAGAGGAAGAATTTGAAAGATCTACCCACACGAGATGGTAAGCACACACAGAGGAAACCTTTTTATGATAAGTGCACACAGACAAAACCTTTATATAGGTATTTAACAGGTCCCCACCAGTACGATTCAAAGAAGCCGCTATTGACCCTCAAGGGGAGCCATACCTTCTGCAGTCTGGCCACCTTCTCATAGCATCCATCCAACTCCTGCCGCAAGTTCCGATTCTCGTCAGAGAGGATCTCAACCATCTGCTGGGCTCTCGAGACGATGGAGAAAGGGTCAGCTGGCAAGGGCTGATAAGAAGCAGACGGCTGAGCCCGAGGCATAGCTGAGTAGGCTTCTCCCGGCTGCTGCTGTGGTGCTGGAGGAGGCAAGGCGGGCTGGGAGAGACGGTAGTGGTCCCCCTGGTGACTCTGATTCGGAAGAAAGTGTTGCTGCTGCCTTGGCAGGTGTGTAGAGTGGTCGCCTTGGTTTGCGGCCAAAGCGTGTTGGGCAGAAGACAGTCTCGTAGATGGTGGAGACTGCAGCAACTGATTCCCGGTCGTCAAGGAAGATGTCGGGCTGTGAGGCTGAGAATTCCTTGCCGACAAAGACAGCGAGATGTCCTGCGTTGTCCTGAAAAACACAGAAGGCCAGCTCTGATAAAGTTCACTTCCAAGGCACAAGTAAATGACACAAAGGGATAGCCCCAAAATACAGGTAAAATGCATAGCAAGCAGAATTAGATCCCCGCCAAAGAACTCTAGCGTCCCATTCTTACCGAGACATCCTGTGGCTCTGTCCAACAGCTACTGCTCACTAGCTATGAAGCCTTTGGAGATGAAACCAGATAACCTCTGAGGTAAGTATGAAAATCTTAAGATGACTATCTCCACATTCATTCCTTAGTCATTTAAAATTCCTTTTGTACAAAGTAATGCTCATGACCTGACTGAAAACTGAACCTGTCTGGGAAAAACTTTATGTATGCAGAGACTTCAATTTAGAAAATATGTTTACTTGGTTACTTAAAACAGTCGCTCGGTTGCCTTTCGTGGTCCTATCTGCAACTACCTTTGAGAATTCATACACTCAAGAATTTCTCAAAGAGACAAAGATATTTATTAAACTTAAAACACCAAATAATTATTGCTCATTCCAGTTATCAATTTAATAATACACATTAAGGAGCAATATGGAAGCTTGGAGAAGATAGAGGCAACACTATTATATTATTTATAGCACACTGAATCACAAAATTTAGGAATTAGAAAGACTTTAAAGGAATTATTTTCTTGTATAGGATGAAACTAAAACCCAGAGAAGGAAAGAGATGTGCTGAGGGATTGGATATGGTGCAGAGCTGAAACACAAGCCCCGAGTACATAACATAAAACCCCAAGTCCCGTCCCGAATGAAACAAACAGAAAGAGAAAGAAAGCCAAAGCCAGAGATCTGGGGAAGAGTGAACTATGGTGTTAGTTCACTCCACTCCCACCTCTGGCTTCCTGAATTTCTAAGCAGTGCTGTACAAATCCCCAACCTATTGCTTACAGAAGGTCTCAGAAAGAAAACTTGGGTACACTGTTTAATATGGCTTCCTGATTTTTGGTAACTAATTACGAGATACGAAATATTAATACGTAAGTACAAATAATTTGTGCATAACTCTTAACTAAAACAATCAAAGCATATGGATGTGTTATTTCCCATTATCAACACTATCAGGAAGCATTTGTGTCTGTTTATTCTGAAGGCAAAAACATTATTTTTCATCCCCTGGCACAGGCTGAACTTTATATGTTCCTGAATTTCTCAATTCAGGGAAGACAGAGGACTAAGAACATGATTTAGATACCAAAAAGGGGACTTCAGAGACTTTTGGTACTACTTACTAGCTCTGTGAAACCTTGTTCAAATTTCTTAGTATAGAAGGAGAGATAACTCAGTAATAAGAGTAGTGGCCCAGTCAGAGACCCCAGCTTTGATTCCCAGAACGCACGTAACAGCCATGTTTCAGGAGATCCGATGCGGTCTTCTGACAGGTATCCCGCATGCATAGAGAGCACAGACTTACATGCAAGCAAATCACCCATACACATAAAATAAGTCCTTCTTAAATTTATCTTGCTGGGCATGAGGGCACACACCTTCAGTCTCAGCACTCATGAAGAAGAGGCAAACCGATCTGGTCCACATACTGAGTTCCAAAATAGCCAGGCTTCAAATGAATTACAAAAATACTGGGAGCTCTACCTGTTTTGACTCAGTAAGAACTATAGCTTTTTTTCTACCGGTGAGATATGTTGACCTTGTTAGTGTCTTCCTGTTAATCTTTGTGCTAATTTGTTTAAAATTCTTGACAGAAGTTGGACAAGTGAGCAGAAGCCATTAACTTTTCACTAGCAATCCAGACACTTTAGCACATGTCTTTCTCACACACTCCAGTAACCAGCATCCCCAACCACTCCTCCCTGTATAGGCTGTTTACAACCTAATCATCCCAAATATTTGTTCATGGACACAGCCAGTGACCTCAATACTTAACAAAAGTACTAAAACCTCTTTATACCCGGGGTCTGTCCCGCAGCCTCATACATGCCTCTAACATACACACAATTCTTCCAATTTTACACACTTGTCGCTGGCACTAATTGGTAAATATGGAAGAAATCGCGTAAACTACTTGAGCATACAAGAAATGACACACTAGTCAAGCCTACAACTGGAGAGCTGATGCCATACATAACCTTTCTTCCCGAGAGCCCGGGGTGGTTTGTGAACTTACATGGTGAAAGGTTTCCACTTCCCATCCTGTACATCTTCACTTTCTATACAGGTAAAAACAACCGTGTGCTTCCTTCCCAAGAGCTGTTTTAATATGTCTAATGCAGAGCTGGAATGTCCTGAGATTTGGGAGGAGGGGGCCTTTGAATATCTTGGGCGAAAGAAGGTCTTAAATTTCATGTTCTCCAACCCTACTTTCAAAATGTAAGGAAAAAAAAATCCCAGCACTATCTTTTGCCCTCGTTCTCAGGATCTGAAAGTCCACTGCCTGAGGTATATCTCTCAAAGCTTGAACACATAGTTTCAAACAGGGCTTCCTCTCCACGGCTCCCCTGGGAGCTTATCAAGCATAAGGGGCTTTTTACTCAAACAGACTTAGGCATCTGCTTCCCTCCTCCCTGAAGGGTGAATGGCCTGTCAAGGCCCTGGACAGTGCACAGCTTCTCAGGGGTCTAGGAAAAGATACTGCACGGTTTCCGGAAGGTCTCTGGGGTCAGATAAGCCCAGTATGAAGATAAGCCAAAACAAAGCAGCTGCCCCTTGACTCCCCAGGCCACAAAAGGAAGCAGGGTGCTGGAAAAACCAAGGCAGTCCTTTGCTGGCAGATTTGAAAACAAGTAAACGCTTGGGTAGTTGAAAAAGTAGGGACCCGCTCCAGGCAAAAGAACTCCAGCTGGGCTTCAACATCTGCCCACCATCAAAAGGCAGGGCGATGGTAACCATAAAATAAGGGTCTGTTGGAGAACAGGGGGCTCAGGAAAGAAGACACAGGTTGAGGAGAACTCCAGCCTATGTCACAGGAAACAAAAACACACTGAAGACTAAATAATAAAAGAAAAAGTAATGATAGCAATAAAGTGGCCAAGGCGAAGGCAGTGCACTCTTGAGCTCCTCCACCCCACAGCATCTCCAAACACTCCCCACTGAGAACTAACTGGGAACAAGGAGCCACCAAGGAGACAGTAGAATCACATGATCCAGGGACAATCCGATCTGCCCCTCTGCTCCTTCTCTCAACATCCAACTCCTTAAGACTCACGGGCTACTAGTGATCTGAAGAAGAGGGGACTTGGCTGGCTATCTACGGAAGAGACCACTCACCAAACTTAAGCTGCTCCCCAAACCTGCATTGAGAGAGTCAATATATTCTCAAAAAGAGCTTGTAAAGACAAAAAGGGAAAGTAACATACACACACACACACACACACCCCTAGCAAATACAGACCTTCCCACCTGCTACCTCTATAGGGTCCCCATCCTCTTCAGTCACTCACACATGCGCCCACATGAGTATAATGAGTATAGGCATCTCTCTCTCTCTCTCTCTCTCTCTCTCTCTCTCTCTCTCTCTCTCTCTCTCTCTCTCTCTCTCCCTCTCCCTCTCCCTCTCCCTCTCCCTCTCCCTCTCCCTCTCCCTCTCCCTCTCCCTCTCCCTCTCCCTCTCCAGAGCAGGTGCCACCAGCAACCTATAGCTGGCTTCTCACCACAGAAAGGGTGCCTCTCCCAGGCTCTGACAGTGACTGTGAATCGTGGAACAGCTTGTGAATAATTCCAGACCGTTCCAATTGTACAAGTAGCTCTGTTCTGAGCTACAGATTTAGGTCACCCTGAGATTCTGTTCAACAAGCATTTCAAGGAACCTCAGATCTGGGCATGATTTCAACACCTGAAAGGGGGTGGCTGCTATATAAACAGAAATTATTTTAATTTTTTAAAAGCACTTGATCGGTGTATAAGCCCAGGATATAAAACAAAACAAAACAAAACAAAAAAAAAAAAAACAGTTCAGTACTCAGACAAAGATTTAGAAATTTAATAATTCTTCTCATGGTTTGGCCTTGTTTCCCCATCTGGAGCTCTGAGCATTCAAGCTATTTATTTTTCTAAGGAGGGAGGAGGGCATGGGGATGATGAAGTAATCAAAGGACTGTTTATAACATTGTGTTCATTTGAACAGCAAATCAACAGTTCACCGACTCTCTCAAGGCAAATGAAGGCAGCGTTTCCTTTCTAAGGGCACTTTCTTCAGAAAAACTGACATTTTATCCTGATCTGTCATCTGCGGGTTCAAAATTAAGAAGTAGGCTTTCTATTTTTTTTTTTTTAATTTTTCTGCGAGCTGCAGCTACTTGGGAAGATATTCACAGGCCATATAGGAAATCAAGCAGGAAAAGGTGTCAGCGTGGAAAAGTAGAAGACTTCTGGAAAGCTGTTCGACTGCGTCCGCCTGCCAAAGATCCTTCAATAGGTGCCACTCCCCCACGCAGGGCATGCAAAACGCTTAGAGATAGAATTTGTTGGATGTATACCCAAACTTTACATGGAAAACCTCTAGCTTAGGCAATTTTATTATTCGTCCAGCATATCAATATTCTGTTCCTGTCCTGCAGAGAAGCAACTGTTAGAGCCTACCAGTGTGTTAAAATACTGCTCAAGGGCTGGGGGCGGAACTCGGAAGGGCAGGGCGCTTGCTGATGCCCAGCACCAGCCAAACAAAAAACAAAAAAAAACAAAACAAAACAAAAAAAAAACAAAAAACAAAAATCAAAAATACCAAAAACAAAAAACAAAAACAAAGGTAGGTCAGCATAGGCTTTGTTGTTTCAAGGGCCATGAATTGAGATCCACAGATAATATAGAAGGAAAGAGAGAAGATACATATCTTCCTATAAAATATGTGCAGCTTAATTTCTCTGGTTGTTTAATCAGTATGGGAAGGAAAAACCCCTCTTTGTCCCCTTATTTATTTAGGCAGATCAAAGAGCTTTTCCATCTAGCTTCAAACACTGTGGGAGTCATTTCAGATCACAAACAATACTGGTGAATGAGTTCTGAAAATAGCTTTCCTGGGAAGGCGGGCCATGTGCTGAGCTGGGGCTTTGGCTTCAGCTCCACACCCTAGCCAACACACTCTTCCACAAGGCAACAGATCAGTAGCCCATCCACGGGCCAGAAGGGAGACAGTGCCTCCAATGCTTCCATACTGGTGGGAAAAGCAAAACAAAAGCCCTAGGCTTCCTTGACATTTTCCTAGCTTGAATGGATTTCCACTAAGCTATGCAGTCCAAGAGTGCAGGCCCTCCCTGGGTCTTCCATTTCACTGGGCAGATGGGAGTTGGGCTCTTGTAGTAGTTGAAAGCTAAAGGGCCCCGTTCTTATCCCATTTTCTGTCCTGAGATGATTATCAAAAATCAGGCTCCTGCCTTCTGAAAACTTCAGAGGAACTTTCAAAGGGTTAAGAAATCACCCTGGGTTAAGGAGAAAAGAAAAATCCTAAACCAGTAAGGCAAGGGGAGGAGCCTAAAATGAATTGCCTCTGGTCAAGAAAAAAAAATCAGGACCTGGAGGGGAGAAAAGAAATACCAGGAAATGCTAGGTAACTTCTCTTACCTCCGCCCTACTCCACCCCAAGTGCCTTACCTCCTGACTCACCAACTTCAAGCCAGGAGGTTCTTTCCCAAATGAACAAATAGACACGAGGCGAGGAAGATACCAATGAGATCACAGTCTTGGACTGTGAGCCACCTAGGGCTTCAAACCTTATGGATACCCATCATTACCTAAACCTGGTAAGAGGTCAGGATGCCAAGCGTAACTGCTGCACTGCTGGCTTTGTTTAACCGTTCCCCCGCACCATGTCCAATTGTACCAAAGAGTAGTAATATAACCAATAAAAAAGAATCAGGATTGGGTGAATAGTAAAAATGACAACGGGTGCTGAATGATTAAGAAATATACTTAGGAAGAACAAAAGGTATAAAACGGAAGGGTTGGGCATAGTTTTGCACATAGATTTTTAGTATCTGGAAGAACTTCTACAGAGATAATGTGAATTTAACCTAGATGCTTAAAAACATGACAGGCAGCTGCCTAATGAGCTCTCTCCAGAAGAACCAAGAAGCACCCCCCCCCCCAAGACATTTTCTGAAGGTCAAGGCAAGGAACATTCTGAGCCAGCACATGTATATAATTCTTCTCCCACCAACAATCGTATCTGCCTGGCTCTTGAGTGTCAAAAAGTATCACAATAATTCTCTGAGACAGTACAACTAACAGGAAACAAACAGATTGCTCCACACACACACACACGGCCGTGAACTGTGAATGATGGAAGGGACACAATGTGGCAGACTTATTAAAGCCCAAGACAACCTGCTTCTATTGCTTAAGGAAAGCCTTTTAAGAACTCACAAGATTAGAAACAATGACCCTTCTTCCAGAATCCCAGGAGACAAGAGAGCACATCAACACTAAAATGAAGCACTGCTTTTCTCTACAGCCACTGGGAAGTTTGTTATATCAAGCACCTGCCCATTCCTTCCCTTTCCCAAAAGGCAGCAAGAGAGGCTGGTTGGGGATGAGGCCAGGAAATGATAGAAAGGGAACTCTTACCTGGCTGCGCCATACTCAGGGGGGTGCTGATATCTCATCAGTTGCCCCTCTGTTCTCCCTGGCTGGTTCAGGCGATGCTCGCTATAGAAGAGCCCTGGCTCTTGGGGCTTGCACACTACAGACTGGGATGGCATGCCCTTGAAAGGGTATTCTGGTGGGGGGCCTCGGTGTTCCATGCCCTTCAGACTATGTTGGCTGGGAGGTGGCCCTTGAGCCTTGTAGAAGTCACTGGAACTGGTGGGATTCTTGTAGAGGTCACTGGGTTGTGGTGGGGAGAGGGGAGCACTGGTTACAGGTGGGTGGGCTTTCACTCCACTGGTAGCCAGTGACATCTGCATTAGTCTTTCACTTAGGGATCGGACATGCCCTTGCTTAAGGTCTCTAAGTCCTTCATCTTGGTGCATCTTCCCAGGATTGAGTCGCTGCACTGATGGGCGTCCCTCGGTTCTCATCTTCTGGTTAGTGACTCCTGTGACATAGAAGGCAGCGCCAACACTAGCATGCTGTTGGCCCCGGAAGTATTGTGACTGGACCTTGGCTTCTTCATAGGTCGGCAGTTCCTCATTATTCTGCATACGAGGGGACAGCTGCTTCTCCATGACGATGTTTTCTGACTGGATTTCCTGGCCCTGGGGTTCTTGTCGAGCAGGGTGTGCCACGAGCTGCTGGTGGTGATCCTGGGGACTCAAAACGTCGGTCTGAGGGCCGGGGTTCCCACTGCCAGCGGAGAATGGGGGGCTATTCCCTGTGGCCTGCTGGTGGATGGCAAGCAGATTACGATTCTCACTAGGATTGCCATAGCGAAGCTGCTCTTGAAGCAGGCGTTGCAATACCGTAGTTCCTCCACTTGGCTGTTCTTCAGAATTTCTCATCTCTATAGCTGGCGTTGCTTTGTGAAGAGAGAGAGAAATTGGGCACTTGGGCTGCCCTTGACCTGGGAAGGGGAAACAGGAAGCTTAACATCCAGGTGATGGATTAATCAGTCCTCTAAAGGGGAAGAAAACGTGTTTTTGAAGGGGAGGAATCCATTACAGAAACAAAACAGAGGAATTGCATTCATAAATCGTAGATTAATTCCATGCTTCTTGTCTTTAGCACTGATAGGTTGAGGAACATTTAGGTCAAAAAGTGGTTACCTCTTTTACCATGATCTAACTAATCTTGACTTACTTTCTAAAAGGAGTGGGCCAGCAAGGAGGAGTCAAGTAGGACGGTCAGAGCGGGCAGTTTTCTAAGACCCTTTCAAGTTTCATCTCTCTTTACTCTATTTAAATCAAAAATAGAAATGTTATGCTATGGAGGTAGAGACAGAGAAGTGGGCAGAGTTACCCCCTAAACAGGATTTATGAATAAGTTCAGCATGTAATATAGGAAAAATAAAATTCAAAACAATAACTTACGCAAATAATAGGGAAAGAGAGCTTAGCGAGCACAGGCATAAATGAACCCTGCCTCAATGTCATTTTTTTTTCAGATTGCCTATAACTCTGAAACATAATCTTAAAAACATCTTTTTAGTATCCATTTTGGATGCTCCATTACTTAATAAGAAAATAGCTTTGAACAAGTATTACTGACGCATTTCTCTTAGGCCATCAAGGAGAGACATTAAGGCAGCTTGCTGTTGGTGTTGGGTAGGACAAGTGGATAGGGGGAAGAACCTCTGACATTTAGAAACTAAAAAATCCAAGTCCATCCTTCTGAAACAACATGATGACCATGGCCCTGACCACCTCCATCAGCTCTTCTAAAGAGTTACTATGGATCTTGTCAAATAGACAGCAGCAGCACAAATTAAGATCCACGTCAAAAGACTACGGCAATATCCAAGGTAGCCTAAGCCAGTGCTCTTCTTTTCATAACTTCTGTTTCCCCATCTGAAAAATTGAAGGGCAAGTCACATGCACCACCCCTTCCCTCTTGACTCCTGACTTGTGCATGTCCATTAACCAGACACTCAAAGACTCTGGAAAGAATCTGTCCTGCTAAACACTGAGCGTAAACAGCAGTGCTAAAGCATGAGATTTTCACTGTAGAAGTGTGAAGTAACTTGGTGTGCATGGACATGTCACACAAAAGTCACTGTAAGGGCCAATCTACTGAGTGTTGGGTTTCCACATGAAAATCCCGCACTCTACCTACCAGGTCTTTATCTCGACAGTAACTCACCCCCAGCTCTCTGCAAATCCCTTTCCTTAGTGCTGCAGGGCATCCAGAATGGGGACAGCAGATGGACATGCTCAGCCTCTGGCTTCTCTTCCTTCTTGATGCCTATCACTACATGCCTTCCAACTGTTCTATGGAATGAGCTAACCCAATGGTTTCCCCCCCAAAAGCACGTTTTATCATTTTTTTATTCGGATATATAATTATCTTATTGATGGGTTTGTTTTGTGATATTAGAAATGGAACTCAGGGTCACAGGCATGCTAGGCAAGCACATTACCTCTGAGCTACATTCCCAGCTCAAAAAAAAAACCCCAACTCTTTTTGTATCTCATCCCTATTTTGGGGGAAAGTGTAAGCTAACCACCGAAAGGCTACCTAACTTAGCCTGTAATCATATTCCTCTCCACTCCTGTGACACTCTGTGGTTCCCAGATTTGGACTCAAGACTCAAATTGAAAAATCTCTTCTGTTGCCTGAAATTGGACAGATGACTACCAAATTCTTTTCTTCTAGCAAAAAAAAAAGGTAGAAACAAGAATGTTTGTAGTTAAGACAAATATTACCTCTAACCCTCTCCCACAAGGCAGGAGAATGTAGACACTGAGCTGTCCCAGACCCCATACCTTCAAAGGTATGCCACCCCCTCCCATGCCACACCCGTCCTCCAGCACACACACATAGGCTCCCAGGCATGTGCTCCTGTGGCTCAGCACGCACAAACGCAGGTCCCATCTGCTCAAGCACGTGTGCTCAAGCACGTACACACATACACACTTGCAAACACACACTGAGAACTCAAGAACAATGAATGGCAATGGGTTTTTGATCCTACTGCACATACTGGCTTTGAGGGAGCCTAGGCAGTTTGGATGCTCACCTTACTAGACCTGGATGGAGGTGGGCGGTCCTTGGACTTCCTTGGACCTGATTGCTCTTTGAGCTGATGAGGGAGGGGGACTTGATCGGGGGAGGGGGGGAGTGGGAGGCGGTGGCGGGGAGGAGGCAGAAATCCTTTATAAATAAATAAATTTAATAAAAAAAACACACACAAATACACACCCACCCATAGGCACACTCACACAAACACACACACACACACACACAGACATGTGCACGCACATATATGCACACCAACGGTTCATACCTATTTCTACTTTCTTTTAGGCTTAAAGCCTTGATGAGGATAGGGAACTCTTGCTTATGGGCAGCTCCAGAAACCGCAGCAGCAGATTCCCTCTCCCCTAACACTCAGGTTCAGGGTAAGCGCCGGCAAGAGTCCAACCACAGGTCACTCTGAAATGTTCAGGAAGGGTAGGGAGGGAGAAATCAAAATGTCGTTTCTAAGTTGCCACCATGAGCCAGCAGTTAAACAAACTACTCCTTCCAAGGGAAAGTCTTGTCCCATGTTGCTTGGCTTTGAAATGAGTGGCTTTGAAATGAGAGCTCACTGTGCAGCAGGTGTGTGCGGGAGGTCATTCCAGTCTCCAATGGGACAGAAAGACTAAGAAGTGACCCTGGAAAGTGCTGCTGTGTTCAAGTCTCCCAGCCTTAGAAAGCCATGCCTGTTGGAACCCTAGATGGTGGTAAATACCCACAACCACTGTTACCTTGGGAAACAACATTCAGTTGGTGTCAGTAGCAGGATAGATTTGTGAATTTAACTAACTTACAACCAGAAGGGAAGGCAGACATCGTAAGTTAGATCCAGAGTCCGGAAAAAAAAAAAAAAAGACCACTGAATATCAAACTCCTGACTCTACTGCCACAGCCTCGGCCAGGCAGAAGAAAAACAAACTTCAGCCAAGTCATTTAATATTTATTGAAGATTGAGCATTCCAGACATTTGCCAGGCTCGTACTAGACACAATGAGTCATACAGAGACATACAAAACATAGTTCCTGCTCTCATTGAGCTTACAATCTGATTAACAGCCAATCACCCTTGCAAGAGGAGGAAAGCCATACAGCCTATTGGGTTCAAAACACAACAGAACATGCCTCAGATTGCCCTCTCAGCACCTCCTCTGACACAGGGTCTCAGCAAAAGGAGTCTACTCCATTTTATTTCCATTTGAGATCATTTTCATTGAGTTTCTGCTTTGAATCCTTCTAAACCTCCCTTCAAGTCCAACCAACGCTACTGTAAAACTGAAGAGTTTGTGTTTAGGTAAGGTTGTACATGAACCACATCCTGGCCTAGCCATGACTCATTCGTATCACTTTAAAAAAAGAAGAAACAAACAAACAACAACAACAAAAAAAAAAAAAACAAAAAAAAAACCCTTTTACTGCACACCAGAGGCTCTGTGAGAAGCATGGCAATGCAGAAGAAACACACGAGCATCGTTGTATTTTGGGAGCTTTTCCAAAATTCTCAAGTTGAAAAAAAATCCACAAAACCACACAGTGATTAATTTAGCATTATTTCCTTGCAATGTTGCCAAAATTAAACGAGCAGATATGGAGTGAACAAACCCGGAAATTTGTCTTTCCATCTTGTTTTGGTCCAAAGTATAATCGTGATCAAAAGCAAAACTGCTCCCAATCTGCAAGGTAATTATTTGAGGGTGTCTCCCCTTCAGTGCAAAGCAGAGAAACAACTTTTAATTGGAGTCAAAGTGAGACTGGGAGTAGAACTCTGGTAAATAACCAGCATGCTCTTGTTGTCTTACTCTGAAGAAAACAAGTGTCTGCTTTTCAACGGAAACCAGAAAATGGCCCTAGGCTTTCAAAGAGGAGCCCCTGGAGGAAAGGCATCACAGGCTTTTCCTCCAGAACTACTGAGATTCTTCATGCTGATTTGAGACTGGCTTTCTCCTGCCTCCCTGATCTTCACTGGAGAAAACTTACTTGGCCAAAATCTCTTCCCCCACTCCCTTAATTTTGTTCAAGTTCCTCCACATCTTTTTCAGACCCCAAATCACTTTCTAATACCAATGAGACACTGTGTTCTCCCACTTCCTTACCACATGGTTCTGGTTTCTGTTTTACAGGAAGGCAAGTCATCTCAGGAGAAAAACAAACAAACAAACAGAAATTATACAGAGTTCTCCCAAGCTTATGTCTCTTTTTTTGATAACCTTATGTCCATCAGCATGCTAAGGAAAAACATGACACTATTAACGAAAGAGAAGATTCCTTGTCTCATGCCGAAGAACCGAAATAGTAGGAACTACATAACCTTTAATTTGCCCACACTTTTAATCATGCCACTGCCAGGGATCTGACATCATCTTCAATCAATAAAATAACCTTGTTGCTCTTGAAGACACAGAGTGCCTTTGAGGATAGTGGACCAGAAAAGAATGGAAATGCCTAGCTCTGTTTTATAAAATGCAGTATAAATCTATATATCCAGCTCCTCTGTAATAAGAAGGCAGCAAAATTTTTGCTCCACTTGGAGCTATGAACCTCTCCCCATATACCTGGAAGGTGAGCCAAACACATTAGTGAGAGCTCAGATGTTTCCCAAGCCAAGACCCAACAAAATCAACATTACAAGGTGGCCAGAACAAACCATATTTTTGCCCTTCAAATGAATTTTGCAATAAGCCTATTAGGTCTTCTTTCTAACCCTTCTTCTACTTCCTCCTTCCATTCTGCCCTTTACTATACAAACAAGGATGGAAAACCTAGTCTAGAAAACTGGTTTCTCTGCCAAATTCGGATCAATCTACTTCATATTTTATTTCCAGAGAAGTGGAAAGCATCCAGGTCAAAATTTCTGTGACTATGTCTTTGTAAATAAAACATCACACACACACACACACACACACACACACACACACACACACACACACACCCTTATTAAAAGCAAGAAGTCTGGGCAGGAGAGATGGCTCAGTGGTTATATTAACCTGAATGCTCTTCAAAAGGACTAGGGTTCAATACCCAGCACCCACACGGCAGCTCACAACTGCCTGTAGCACCAGCTCCATGGTATCGTACAACATCTCCTGGCCACCACAGACACTGCATGCACATCATACACAAATCTATCCAGGCCCAACACCCATTCAAATAAATAAACCTGACAACAACAGAGCCAGGAAGTCCCAGTAGATTCACTTGTGCTCTCTGGCTGGGCCGCTTAATGGCCTGATCTTTCATAGACACTATCTTTCCCAAGAAACTTTGCAAGCCAGAGCACACATTCAGCTCTGTGCATAGGATGTTATTGAGCTGAACAGGGAGTGGGGTACAGTAGAAACCCTGCGGCCAAGGGTTCTATTATCTCACTTCTCAAGTTCAAATCCTGAATTAAGTTCTTTGTTAATTGACCTCATCCACGTTTCTTTACCTGCATAGGTAACAGTGGCATCACCTAGAAATTAGGATCAGTGGTGTACACATAATAGAAGATTATGATCAAGATTAAGAGAAGTAGAGGTATTCCATGTAAAGTGTGAAGCATGGACCCTGACACTCCATAATAGCTCGAAAAAGTTAACTATTGCTATAATTATTATACCAACTTAGCTTTTATTCTAGAATGCTTTAAAAATGTTATGAAAGTTGCTTGATTTAAAGTCCCTATTTGTATCTTAGTTACAGGGTTTCTTAAGCCATCAATGGTCAGAATTCTGATAACTCTTGGGAGATCACTTAATGCCCCACAGTCCTGTAACTTGCAAACTGGATAGGCATTTGTTCCTGCTTAGAAAATTCTCGTAAGGGGTTGGGCAGTGGTGCACATGCCTGTAATTCCAGCCTAGGCAGGTAGTTCTCTGAGTTCGAGGTCAGCCTGGTGTACAGAGTGAGTTCCAGGAAAGCCAGGGCTCCACAGAGAAACCCATCTTTCAAGCCCCCTCCCCAAAAAGTAATGTGTAAGGGAAGAGTGGGCATCAATTCTTTTCTGTATCATTCATTGCCTAGACCACATTGGAAAATTACTGTAAGGCCTTGAAATTTTCAACCCTTACTGAGGAGCATGTGAGAAATCTGTTTCTAAAACATTAATTTTTTTAAAACATATTATATTTTAATTACTTTATTTTTATTTATTTGTTTATTTATTTAGTGTGTGTGTGTGTGTGCACCAGGGTGTGGCCATGTTCACTATGCTGTGCATGTGCAGAGCAGATGTCAACTTGCGGGAGGCAGTTGTCTCCTTTTACCATGCAGATCCTGGATATGGAAATCAAGTCTTCCCAGAGGCAGGTGCCCTAACCCCCTGAGTCATCGTGCCCAGGTCAGAATTGGTCATTTTTTTTTATCCCACTTACACTTTCTTTTATATTGCTCTGAACTAACCCAAACATATTCATGGGCAACAAAATTACCACGCAGACAGTGGAGGGGTCAGTGAGACACACAGTAGTGGGGTGAATCCTGTTACCACCCATTTTTTTCTTCTGATATACATCATTTATAAAGGGGATCATTAGACCATGGTACCACATCTAGCCACTTAATGCCTCAAAAAAGTACAAGGGATCCATAAAAGCAGGACACACATAAAAGGAAGAAGGTTTAAGAATCTACCTAGATCCTTGCTGCCTTAACAATCTCTTCCCCACTATGGTATTGTTGTTTACACTTTATTTTTATAAATAACATAAATACAGTGTGCAAATAGTTATAATAAAGAAGATAAATCACTTAGAAATCCAGTACTTCAGCATTGTTAAAATTTGTAAACACTCTATTTAGACCTGTGTAAAGCAATGAAAAACACCTGGTTTTGGTTTAAGAGACAGGGTCTCACTGCGTAGCCCAGACCAACCTGGAACTATGTAGTCCATACTGACCTTAAACTCATGGCAATGATTCTGCTCAGTTTACGCAGTGCTGGGACTATGGGTTTGAGCCATTACAACCAGCACAAAGAAATATTAATATGCACAGAATATGGGATCCTACGTTTCATTTTATTATAAGCCTTTTACCCATGTTTTGGCATAGACATCATAACAAATATTGTAATGGTCATGTAATATTCCAATGAATGAGTGTATCAAGATGCACTTACCCACTTTCCAATTAAGATAGTCAAATGACTCCCAATTTTGTGCTGGCCTAAATAATTTCATTAAAACATGTTTGTGATTTAACCTTTTGCTATATTTTAGAAAAACATTTTCTTAATTAAATTAATGAAATCTTAAATCCTAATATAATATTGTTTCTTAATGATACAACCCCACAAGTGAAAGGAATGGGTCAAGGAGCACAAATGTTTGTGAATAGCCATTTAAAAAAATAAATAAACGAACAAAAAAGTAGCAGAAAGCAAAGCCCCATGAAATCTTTCTTTCACTTAATAAAATGCTCTTCTGCCCCCGTTTCTCCACCAGGTCAGAGCAGGGCTCTGGGGACACTGGGAAGCTTAAGCCAAGAGAAGCAGAGGAGGACCTCAGTGCCTTTTGAAATGGCAGAGCGTGGAATGTGGGCTCCCCTAGGAATCTAGCTTGCATGCACTTGCCCCAAATTGCCACTTGGCCAAGAAGCTAATTAGTAAGAACATCAGATGGGTGAGAACAGGTTCATGGCCTGTAATGGCTTATATCATCTTTCATTTTTGCCCTTGGAACGATCTGACCGTCAGCTTGAAGACATTCAGTTCTAGTGACCCAGCTTGTTACTTTCTGAGAACAGAATTTGTTCGTTTTGAGAGCCCAATCTTCGCTTTAACCTAATGGGCATGTTGCTATAAAAAACTGAATGTACATGAGCAAGGAGTCTGTGCACATGCCTCTATTTGCAGCTTCAATCAGAGTAGCACTTTTAACGGTGACCAGGTTTAATATAATATGAAGAAATGCCACCTGTTTAAATGGTCAGTGTGTTATAGAAAGAGCACCTATTTGACCATACAAAGTCACCCGGGTTTTAGGTTTTAGTTAGGGAAGGCAGCAGACCAGAGATACCCCTGGCTTTGCATGAGGCCAATTTCTTTTCTTTTTTTTCACTTCTTTTCCAGAACTCTCAGAAAAGTGGGTTCAGCCCCTCCTTCAAAGATTTTCACTAATCATACTCCATTTCTTTACTTCCCTGAATTCTGCTCAGCATAGAAAACGAATTCTGTCCTCTTTCTGTTCCTATGGCCCTTGTACACAGCTGTTTTAGCACTAACCAACATTTAGTGAGCATTTACTATAGCTAAAAAAAAGTGTTTAGCTTTCGCTTGTACCAAGAAGACACTGGAGAAGAAAAAAAGCAACAAATATTTTGAGCCTAGTCATCAGGAAGTCCTGGGAAGGTAGGTCTAATCTAAAAACTTCTGTATAACAGAGATCTGCAGAGAGCTGAGTCGAAGGCACCGAATTTGTGGAGCCACATGATTTCAGAGACATTCTGAAATATATCTTTGGAAGTCATTGGTATATGTGGAAGTGCTAAAGTTATAAGAGAGAGGGCTGGGCCACAAAATAGGAACAGAATTCACCAAGGCTGAAAGTATGATGGGCCCCCGAAGAAAATAAGCATTCGAGAAACTCCTACATTGTAAATGTTAAACAGATCCCTTCACTTGTTCTCAGGTCACCTCCTCTATATAATTTAAATCCAGAAGCTCTTGCTTCAGGATCTAAGTCCCTAATAGTAATTCAGAGACATAAAAGAAGGCAATTCTCCTCACTGGTACTTCTAAGAGTCCAGGCAGAAATCACAGGAAGCTGAGCCAGAAATGGAAGTGCAAGTTGGTAGAATACATAGGATGGGGTACGCTCTTTCTATCCCAGTACCTAAAACACCAACTCATGTATTTAGTGTATGGAATATGGGAGTAAAGAGTGAATAAGACCTGCCCAAGGACTTTGATAGAAGCTACAACCGGAGAAAAAGTATGAAAGACATAGAATACTAACATCATTATTACCTTTAGTTTCTCAGCCCTGTCTCTAAGGAGTCAATGGTTCTTCCACTTCGGTTAGCCTTCTCAGCAGCTGTGGGGGGAAGTAAAGACAGATGTGAGTAACTCCACTTTACAACTGGAGAAACACAAGTGCAGGGCACATAGCTAATGCTAACTCACTAGATCAAGGTTTCATTGTTGCTCCCCAATAGGGTCAGAATCAGAAACCAAATCTTGTGACTTCCTGCCTGCCCTATATTCAGGTAAAAGACAAACCCTCCCACAGACTTCTTGCCAGGTTTGGAAGAAGACAGTTTACAACAGAAATTGTTTAAATTAATTTTAGTTAAAACTAAGAGAAGCTCATTCAAAAAGCCAAATCCCCTGAGCACGCCAACTGTCTGTCTACATAAGTATGTTTCCCCTACGCGAAAGTATTAAGACAGTTCCCCAATAGCAGGAGGACGACTGGCTTCATCTAACTCTCACTGGTGCTATGCTGGCATAACTTGAAGCCCCCATTTTGCTGCAGACTCTGGATAGGAGCCCCATTTGCCTTCAGTCAGGTTTTTGTGTCGGAGTGGGGCTCAGGTGCTGGCTGCAGGTGTGGCATCCAGCAGGTGCATGGATAAGAGCCAGTGTTTCAAATCTTCATGCCAAAGAACCTGAGTCGCTCTCCAAAGACAGAGGCAGCCCCTCCTTCTGCTGCCGAGCTGCAAAAACCACTAACTTCTTTTGACTCTGTCGCCTTGTAGAACTGAATCTAGACCCTGCCTTCTCAAGGAAGGACTAGAGGAAGATCAGTTACGCCACATGTCAGAAAGCCTAAGTAACTGCCCCACTCAAAGAAACTAATGCAGGCATGGCCAACAAGGAAAAAGCATCAGGGACTAGGTATAAAGAATGATCATCTCCTACAAACTGTGGAGGGAAGGGAGGCTCAAAGTAGACCTTATATTTTATCCCTCTATAGGACATCTATTCTTTTGCACATGTCCCTGAAATCTCAGAAGCTAGTATTTCTTTCCCTAAAAGAGGTGAAGAAAATAAAAACTATTAGGAAGGCAGTGCTTATGGTTAGCCCCACCCTCACCCTTTCCCTTCATGTTCCCAAGAAATAAGTGCTTAGCCTGGTCACAGAAACAGCGGGATCAGAAATTTACCACAGTGCCCCACACAATACTAATTGGCAGCTGCAGGCAAAAAGAATGCTCTAGGGGGTAAAGCAGGTCATCAATATTTTCTTAGCTCTGAAAACTGTTTGCTTTAGAAAACAATCTGCCTCTCTCAATCTCTCTCTCTCTCTCTCTCTCTCTCTCTCTCTCTCTCTCTCTCTCTCTCTCTCTCTCTGTCCTTCTTTTGACATATGTATGTACTCAGGCAAACACACATATAGGCACACACACACACACACACACACACACACACAGGCGGGGATAGGTAGAAAAAGGTACAAGAAAATCATGGAAGGAAACAGACTATAACCTTAATAAAATACTGTATTACGATCCACTGTATTTCCTTAGTTCATACAGAGAACTACCATTAGCAAGTTGTGGTTCAGAACTCATGATCCACAAAGTAAAACTGGATGCTAAATTAAAATGTGATCACTGTATAAACAGAGTAAAACAAAGATCTAAACAAAAAGCCCAAAGGTAACAGAGGAAATTCCATTTCTTTAGAATTGGCAATCAAAATGATTTTCCTCATCTGTGATTTTTTTTAAGCTTAAATTTGCTCTCACATGAGGGGGAATGTCACTAATTCAATGCAAATCGGCGCCCCTGAAGACAGCTAAAATGAGTAAAGGATGCGCTAATTAGCTTCCTAACAGGGAAAGCTTTAATTGAACTTTTCTATAACAACCTTCATCAAAGTTTCCAGGGCAACTTCATAAAAGATGTCAAACCTGGCCCATATTTATATCGTCTGAAAATAATTCTCAATACACAGAAACACAGAAAGCTGATTCAATGCTGTTAACACTCAGGCCACTACATTTTCTGATGTCAGCAATCCCCTTCCCACAAATATCCCAAGAATGCACCACCGTCATTCTCCTTTCAATTATGTGGTTTCTCTGCTCCTTTCTTGATTGAGTCCAGGCCTCTCGGATAATGAGAAGCATGTGCTGGGTAAAAAAAAAAAAAAAAAAAATGCTCTTTAAAAAAATACACACATCAGTTTCCTCTACATCATAAAATGGGGTGACAATCACTTGTCCTTATCAGAAATATCAAAATCTATGAGATATTATAAAAAGGGAAAAGATCATCATCAATGTGTAAAGGTGATCAGTTATTGTAATCTGAAACAACACCAATAAATAAAAGCGAGATACCCCCCAAATCCACCCTTTCTAGCTTGGCCACATTTATATTTAATGTTATCTTAATGTTGCCTTTGGGGGTATTTAAGTTCTGACATACACATGGAAATGAGCCACGAATTGTAGAGCAAGCATAAATATTCCATCATTAATAAAAACCAGCTGTGCCCAAAACACTACAACAGCTGGGTTTCAGTTACTGGCTATCACCAGTATTTGTCACAGGCAAATGTTACTCAAAACTTTCTCCCTTAAAACACAGACGCATTAAACTCTGCTTTACTTTAACAAGCTTGAAGGTGCTCTGAAGGATTCGCTGGCCACTAGGGTGCATTCCAACTGTCTGCTTCTCAAACAATTCTCCCCATCCCGACAGTCACTACTGTCCTTTGACTTTGCCGCAAACTATGAGAGAATAGGAAAAAATGTTGAATGTTTTTAAAAGGTTGAGAGGGTCAATAGCACAAATGTAGGGTCAATCTTAATTATGCTCAGAAAGGCAATAGGGCACCAAAGGGCACTGTATGTTATAAGCGAGCAAAAGCTCATTAGACATGAACACCTGCTCAGGACCCTATAATAAGCCTGCTCTGCCATCATGCAAACACCTTTCATCCAATGACCTCAAAGCATATGCCCAATATGAAGCATGCCTAAACACCTCTGTGAAGTATTAATATCCTCCCTTCCCAGAAGGGTAACTGAAGCTTAGAGCAGCTAATTCAGCTCCCCTTGGTCACATGGCAAGTCAGAGAGGGGCTGGGCAGAGAATCCCAAATCCTGGCTTCAACTCACACAGACTAATGAATGCCATTTCAGGCAGCCAGAGAAAGAGTGAAAGTGACTTCACAAATGTCAAGCAAATCAAGAGAGAGAGAGAGAGAGAGAGAGAGAGAGAGAGAGAGAGAGAGAGAGAGAGAGAGAGAGAGAGGTGATTGATTTGCATTAGGAACTATTACCAAATAAGCCAAACCCACCTGCATTTCTTTCCCCAGGAGCACAAAGGATGAAACACAAGCCTGTACTTCACTTGGAAATTTGTACATGATACAGACTTTGATTCCAGTATTTATATTTCGGCCGAAGAAATTTCATTCAATTGTGAAGAGCTATTAGTTTACCAGGAATGAGTCTATCAAAAATTAGATATCACATGAAAACTATATTTTATTAAGGAATAACTAAAGGTCCATGAACCTTAAGTTTTCACTATATACTAAAGGTCTCAAATCAAAGCAACCTCTGTGTGTGCACCACTTTACTGTAGCTATATGCTGTGTTCTTTATTGTCTACAAACTTTAGTTTTCTTGCTTTTTTTTCCCTCCAGTCTGACAAACATTATTTGTGAAGCTTTCAGACAAGCATATCTGGGCCTTCCTGCTCCCCTTTTCACATTCGGGATCCTTCAGAGTCCACCTAAATTTATACTACATTGAGATATCATAATGAAGCAATTTAAAAATAATGTCCAATGATTTAGACAAGTAGACATCGGGTTCTAGTTTAGTTTTTTTTTTTTTTAAGTGGCAGAGCGTAAGTGCAGGTCAGAAGAATAACATTAATGGGTTTGCTGCATACACAAACGAGCCACTTTCTAAGTGTTTAGAGTTCACTTAAACCTATTTGTTCCCTCCCGGAATTCTGGGAACAAAATGTGAGATTCTTCCCATGCACTCACTTTGGTTCTTACTCCATTACTCCATAGCAGTTTACAAAGCTTTGTCTGTGACAAGTTCTTACTTAAGGGCAACATTACACACCCCTATGACCCAAACTATGGAAATTTCACATTAGTAGAGGAGCCAGGAAAAAAAATTAATGGGATTCTTGAAGTTTTGTATAGAGTCTTGGCTTTATTATTTGATACCACTAAACTATAAAGCCAGTTTCTATAGATACATTATTACAGACAGACTCATCCCCACCCCACCCCACCCCCACCCCACATGCAGGATGAGTACAGGATTGTATAAGTTATAATGACTGTTGCACCTCATTCTGGTAGGTACAGCAAATTAGTGAAGCCTCAAAAGACAAGCTTGAACTTTCGAGAACTGATTGTCAATATCCCCCTGTCCAGTCCCCACAATTTACAGTGAAGGAAACCCTGCTAAAGCCTGGCTCCTCTCCTCAAAGGGCTCACCTGGAAAGGCTATCATAGAGTCTTATATTTAAAATGATACCAGTGGTCATTATTTGCAAAAAAAAAAAACCTATAACAAACAACTTTCTAGGTCCTTGGACTAGTCAAATATAATAACTGGAAAGAAAAGATTTTACCTTAAGTGAGGTGGAGAGTCTCATCCTTGGATGTTAAAAATCTGCAAAGCTATATTTGTTCCAGAAAGTAATGCTAACTTCTTCCTACAAGCATGTGTGGGCTGAGTCTAATGTGGGGAGCATTATTACAAGCCAGAATGATATAGACAATTAACTCCATCCCATATAACAAAAGGCTTCAAAAGCCCAATAATAGCCTCATTTAGTTCAGGCAATAATCAAAACAGCAAATGCTAACTAATGTAGTCCTTTATACAATAAATATGGTCCTGAGAAAGCCCAGTTATACTGAGGTGGTTTATTATTATTATTATTTTAACCTATCAAGTCATAGTTTAAAGACACTTAATAGGAAAGTTCTGTTCAAGGAAGTCTGTGTAGATACTTTTAGAAAGCAAATGACCTTCTACTTCCTTTCATTTTTTCTATCTATCTTTCTTTCTTTCCTTCCTTCCTTCCTTCCTTCTTTGTTTCTTTCTTTCCTTCTTTCTTTCTCTTTCATTTTTGTTCAGATTGTGTGTGTTGTATGTGGAGAGGGAAACTTCCTTCGAAAAGGTCAGAAGCCCACCATGGAGGAGAGAAACGCAATGTCCCAGCCTGTTTAATGCCCCCTTAGTTCCTGCAACTAAATTCTAACCTTTGACTTGGGGGTGGGAACCTAGATTTTGGACCAAAGTCCACAAAAGGCAACAAGGAATGAAAAGTAATGCTAAAGATAACACATCATACATAGTAAAACGCCAACAAAAATTCCTGGGGACAGGAAATCAATAGCTCACAATTCTAAACAAATTGGTTCAGTCCCCAGCTAATTTACTTGTCACACACATCTCTAAACCTACTGAATCCATGGGAGAAAGAGGTGATGTAATAGGCGATTTGGAAACATTTCCCATCCTAAAAGGATAGACCCGACCACACACACCTCTCTCCACCCCTTTCAGTGGGTTTAAGCTGGGCTCAATGAGTGCAAAGGACAATTTCTACCAGACAGTCCTGAAGAATAGACTGTTCTCATGCATTTCAAATGCTCAGTCTCCATGGAGGAGGCTACCTGGCCACAAGTATTTCCCAATAGGGAATATATCCTCTACTCCTCCTCACTGGTAACACTCCCTCTGTCCCAAGCAAAACAAAACTGCAAACCATCCAGAGAACTTGGTGGTGGGGTGTGATTTTCTGGGATAAAAGAAAGGAAATGTTAAGAGCGGAGCAGGAGGGTGTGAGAAACTCCTCTTTTCTCCAAATGGAAAATAAGCCTAAAAAAACTGGATCAAAAGAAGAAGGGAGTTGGGGGGGGGGGTTGCTTAATTACAAAGACACCCTTTTAAAAAAGGACCAGGCCCTGGGAGAGAGCTCTTAGGAGAGGCCCAGAAGCAGATGTACCCACTTAGAATGCTGGCACTCAATGGGACCTCAAAGTATCTATCCCCTCTTCCTATTAGCATTCCGGAGTCTGCTTCATTCTATACAAATATAGAATGGAGAAAATCAACCTCAGAAAAGGCCTTAGTCATGCATTAGTCTAACAAGCCTTACTTCATAAATGAAAAATTATACTTTAAGGTTCATATCTCAGTGTCAACTACGAATTGCTAAAATCTCTTTCTAAACTATTTTTCATCCAGTAAAGGGATTTACGATGTCCATGTAAAACTTACTGTACATACAGGTCGAGTTACAGGTTTACTTTGTACCTAGGCTGTGAATTAGAAAGAAGAAAAAAACTTTCAATTTTACAGAGACACAAACTTTCCCAAAGAAAGAAGTAACTTAAAATGAAGTATGATGTAGCGCCAGAAAGTGCCTGTAAATGACACCAGGCAAACCCGTACAGAATAGTTGGGACCTGAGTTAGCATCCGTAAATAGATGCGACTCCTCTACAACCACCTGGCTAGTAAAATGTCCCAGGCCAGTTTTAAAATTTTGTTTGGTCAGGCCAGCCTTTCCCTCCCAGCTGATCTGAAACACGATAGCCTTTAAAATTGTCACCATGTAACATGGTCACATCCCTTCTCTACCTTCCTAACGTCTCGCTCCTCCCCCTCCCCCAGTTAAATTCAACCTAAGAAAATTAGTTTAAAATGGACGTAAATGGTTTGTTCCCTACAGAATAAGCAATAGATTGGGGACATCTCAGTAACAAGTCTTTCAACACAACCAGGGCTTGTGGCACTTGCCCAACTTAAGAGAGGTAGGAGATAGGTGACAATTTACCCCATGTCCAAAATGGCATTTCTGACTATTCTTAGCTACTGAATGAGGGGACTGAAAGGTCTGAGGAGGTTTCACAAAAGCTGGCCTGAGAAAGAACAGTTCACATGGCCAAACCCAAGAAAACTTACGTATCATTATCCCTTCGTCACTAAAGATTATGGTAATGAATTATGGGAGGAAAAGGTTATATTCATATCAGTTTTAAACTGTCGCCTGACATCTACTCTTCATGGAGGAAGGGGATAGTAACAGAAGGCTTTCTCGAATATTTTCCGGTCACTTTTCATTAATTTGTAGTCAGTCCCTTGCATCAAATTACTAGCATATTATTATTTACCAGTGGCAATTATCAGGGACTGCTAGCAGTCTATAAAGTCTGTCATTTCCCTCCTCCTTTACCTTCTGTTCATTTTTACCTATCTATGAAGATAGTCCTGCTATTAGTGAACTGAAGTACCATGGCCAAGGCTCGGACCTTAAAACAAACACCTCTGTTTGCAAAACTATTTATCAAAATATTCTGATTTTATGAAGCAAATAACGGCAGTCTCCACCTCCCAAATCTCACCACCACCACCACCACAACACGCGTGCGTGCAAAAGCGGGTAGTAGTGTGGCTCCTTACTTCCACGTTTGAAAACTTGAAGAATTCATGGCCTGGGGGTCAGGGAGGGTGAGCTCCCACCCCAAGCCAAAGCACTTAGAGGAAATTTATCTAGCTATCTGAGATAAGGACAAACCTTCAAGCAGGACTAAAGGTAGACCTCCGAATCTCTAACTTAGTTAAGGTCTTTAGTTCCTTAAGTGATCAATTCAGTAGGGACCTACAAGAAACCAGGGACGCAATAAGGAGCACCCGGAGTAGTACCTTCCAGCATCTCCTCCTTCAAGTACGAGAGGAGTCCATACTTTTAAATTGTTTTAAACTTCATGCACACCTCGGAAAACTCAAGGGCAACAGCCAAGAAAGTGTAACATACAGGCGATCCCCACAGGCACGTATAACAACCTACTCACAAATAAGGGCATGATTAAGTTCACAAGACCACAGACTACTGCCCCAGTTCCCCGCAAAAAGTAACGACGCTTCTCCTACCCCTAAAGGCAATGAAGACAAGGTGACGATTTTCTCCGCTGGCTCAAGTGGCTTCGGTCCCGGGCCAGAGGCCAGGGATGGGTAGGGAGGAAGCCCCAGGTCCCGGCTACTCTCCACCTCGCTGCTCCCTCGGGTCTCTCCTTGGTGGCAGTGGACAGGCAGGCAGGATACCGGGCCGGAGGGTGGAGCAGCGGATAGTGGGAGGCGAGATAGGCTGGAGGTGGTGGGGGAAGGAGATGGGAACTAGGAAAGAGACGAAAGAGAACGGAGATGGAGGAGTAATTCAGGGGTCTACCAGCTAACGCAGCCAGAAAGCTCCTGGAAGGAAGGGGCGTGACTGCGATGAAGGCAGCTCCCGAGCAAAGGATGGGAGGTAGAAGAGGGGGAGGAACGGGTGGCTTTTCTTCTGGCGGTGAGCGGCTAGGACCGCCCAAAAGGAGGGGGGTGGAAGATGAAATGGGCAGGGCCGAGGGCGGGGCCAGCAGGGCGAGAGGCGGGAGGGAAGCCCGCAGGACACTGGCGGGCAAAGGGGAGGAGGCGGCGCCCCAGGAGGAGAGGCGGCCTTTGGGCGGGGAACTTTTAAACAATTGATCCGCTGCGTTCAGGAGTCTAGGAGAGAGCTGAGATAACTCGCTGGCTGTCTTCCTCTCACGCGCTTGACTAGACTTGGTGGCGGTAGTGCGGACAGTGTTTGCAGGAATTAAGGCGGGAGAAAGAAAGGAACGGGGTTTGTTTTGTTGTGTTGTTTTTCCAAAGACTTTAATAATCCACGGCGACAGTGCAGCAAAGTAGCGTGGGAGAGTCAGCGCAGCTCCCTGCCCCCTCGCGGGCAGAAGAAAAATCGTAGAAACACAGAAAAAGCTGCACGGAGGCAAAGCCAGCTTCACAAATCCAGGAAGGAGCAGCTCTCCTTCGTCACCCCTCCTCCCCCGGGCGCCCGCCCAGCCACTCTCTGGTTTCCTTTGACCAACTGGCAACCCACTCAAGGCAAAGTCCGCAAGATCCCCCTCTTTTTTTCCATTACCCCACCCCCAGCTTCAACCTTCCTACACCTTCCCTGCCTCCTGCCCCAAACCTCGACCCGGGTCCTTGCCCACTCCTAGAGTCTGGCCACTAGGGCACAAGGAAATGGGCAGGGCTGAGAGGAAGCTCCACCTCTTGGGAGTGCTTGCTTGGCAGAGCGGGCCCTGAGTAGGTTCCACCCACCATTCTTTTGCATCTATTCATTGGCCAGTCACGCCTGCTGTTGAGCCGTGATTGGTTCTTGCAGTCGCCAATCACATACTTTGATCCCACCCGCCCTCAAAATTAATAAAACTAAACAAGTGACTATTGTCTAGCTCTCTGAGCTCCCCAAGCCTCTGCTGAGAATAGGTAGACGAGACGGTTGACTTCTTAGTCTCCTGCGACAGTGTGTTTGCCAACTGGGATATAACGTTATATTTAAAGCACTGTCTGACTCTCCGCGAATAGGTAATTGTTTCCTCTTAATCCATTAAACTTGGAAAGGGAAAGGACATGAAGTGTCAATGTGGTGCTCACATTCTTTGGCTGCGAAAAATTCATACTGCTCAAGTACACAGAGAGTTGAGTACAGCAGCATCGCGAGGCACGGGATGAGGGGTTGAAATCTACAATGTGACAGCGGAGTAAAAAAGAAAAGAAAAGAAAACACAAAGAAGCAGTAAAGGGATAGCAAAACAACAAGGAAGTCGAACCAAAGAAAGAATTCCTTCTGGGCTCTCGCCCATATTACCAAGCTGCGGGACTTTTAGAGGACTTAAACGTCCTCATCTGTATGAAAATGCTGTAAGGCATGAACTGGGCTTGTAGTGCTACAGATGCGAAAATAAAATGAAATGTATCTTAAAAAACTCTATAAATCAGTCCACACTTATACGATACACATGGTGGGGACTCTGGCTCATCTGTTTTAAGCATTTATATCCAGGCTTGTGTAAGTTCTGTGGTTTTATTTTGAAAAGCCTCCTCTTTTCCTATAATTTTGAGGGTGGATATGAAGTTGGCTCCCTGCAGTTAGAATAATAAATTACCCCTCTTCTAACCAGAGTGGGTGAGATTGCTTTTGCAAACAGTTTTGCAGTTTCGCCACGACCTAAAGCTGTTGCGGTGCTGATGCTGAAAGAGGAAATCATGCTGTGGATCACCAAAGTGAACTTGAACAAACAGATATGAGCAAAGATTTTCCGTGGAAACCACCATTCTCTGTAGATCTCTACTTCTTAGAAAACCTTTGAGTTGGAAACAAGTAAAAGTATAAAGGCTCCCATCCATTCAGAGCTGTTAGAACGAAGCCATGCCATGAAAGTGGGCCATCTAATTCCAGCCTACCCAACGGGAGCCTTGGGTGGTGCCATGCATCAAGGCAACCTATAAAAAGTATGCACAAAACAACTGTTTCATGATTACTAGGGTCTCCAAACAGTGGGGATAGCAGGTGAGAGGCTGCTGCAGAGACTACAGAGCGTACATCAGGTTCTCCTAGTAGCTGCTGATTCGGAGGCTGGCGCCGGGCAAAATGGACTCTGAGTAGGATTCACTCTAGGTGTGAAAAGAGGTTACTTGGGTGATTTTTTTTCCTTTGGAGAAAGTTACTTTTTTTGAGTATTTAAAGTGCAGAAGCATCTAGTTTATGAGGCAGAGTTGTTCTGTATTTAGAAACACGGACCCGGAACTAAAAGTGATGTGGCCATCCTGAGGGATTGCGGCTGATCGTAACCACAAAAGGAAGCTTGGTAGCTCAACGATCCTGCTAAAATGGAAAAAGTAAAATATGCACATGGGAAGATGAAAGTAAGGCAAGAAGGAACGTGTCCAAGTGATGATTTTTTTTTCTTTTTCTTTTTGGTTTTAAAAAGTGTATTAAGAATAAATCATGAATTGGCATCTGACAAATGAAAAGATATGCAGAAAAAGTAGATAATTTGATTACAAAACATCATCTATTAATGTCTGAGTGTACACATCAGTAAATCAGTAAATTTAAAATACATATTTTCTCATAATCTCAGAAATGTCCTGATTTAACACATCTTGGCTCTTTTTTTTATTTCTTTCTTATAGGTAGTAACTCACACCAACCTTGGGTTTGTTGATTCAATGACATATCTTAAATGTCCTTCCTTTCATATCAGGACAACTACCTTACCCTCTACTTTGTTCTTAACTGAGCAAAAACCCTCTCACTCACTTTCTTCCCAAGGGGCCACTTTCCAATCTAAATTGCAGTAGCAAAAGCCTGGGGACTCAGTGTGATATGCTTGCTCCCGCTATTGATACTACTGACATTGCCGTCTAAAACACTTCCAAAATGTCTTTCTCACTGTTTTCGGAGCCTAGAAGTGTAAACCTTGGATATGACTCGCCAACAATTTGAAATTTTAATGGTGAAGCAGGCGACGTGTGAGTCATTTGTGACTTAGCCGGGGGCAAAAACAGCAGGTTTTTAGGTAAACTCTGTTTTTCCCTGGGGTCTTCCAAGTGTCTTAAGGTCTTAGGTGGTTCCTCCTCTCCCGCCACGTAAGACTTCCTCTGTATTTTTACGCTGAAAACCTTTCAGTTTGTTTAAAGTGAGTTTGAATTTATAAAGCTCTGCCTTGCCTGCTCTACTTAAAAGGGAAGGAGAGGGCAACATCAACAAACATAGACTGAAGTGCTGTTATGGACGGGACTAAAAAAACAAAAAGGTATGAGACTTGGCTCCTGCCTTCCGGCACATACACATGAGAAGACAACTAGCAAGTGTCTGCTAAGTGCTACATGAGCGGTATTGATGGTAAAAGCTGTAGACGTTAAGAGCTGGGAGTGAGAACTACATTTCAGAGAGTGAGTTTACACAGCAGACTATGCCACACACATTTAACTAATCCCTACAGCATCCCCATGTCTTCGAGACTTGCCTATAAAACATGGAAAGCCCTCTGGGGGATACCAGGAGAATTAGCCACTAGCCATCAAACACCTGTGTAAAGACACTGGGTAACTGCAGTACTACACATTAAGAAGCAATTTACTATATGGGGGGAAAAACAAGGACGTTTTCATCTGCGAACTAAAGATTCTTCATTCCGTGCTATGTACCCTGTTTGACCCTTTTCATAGTATGAAATTTCTCTTTTAGTGTAGAAAGTCTGTGCTGAAAAAAAAAATTGTCCGTCAAAAATAAATATCACCCTTGGAGATCCTGTGAGGAATAAAGGTAAGCAGCCACAGCAAGGGCCGATTGTGCTTCTGCTTGTATGAGGGAGCCCCAAGATGCAGATTCTTAGGGAAAACAAATGGAGGAGAAGTAAACGTGTGCCTGAGAAAAGCGTTCTTCATAGGAAGGGTTTCCATTCCGAAGCATGGGAAAGTTTGGAAATAGACAGTGGTGATGCTTACACAGTGTTTTAATTTTACACATCCTTAAAATCAATGCAATGATGTACAGTACGAAACTAGATTTTCATGTAAAGAGGGCAGCTGGAGCCCTACCATAGGCCACCAAGGCCCATCTTACCAGGACTTCTATCTCTTCAAGAGACATTGAAGTCATATGTACCTCATAAAATATTTTGTTTTTAAAGTTTTGTCAACTAATGAACGTCTTAATAAAAAGTCTGTCTTTCATATCTAAAATTTTGTCTTACCTACAGGACAAGCAGAAAGTAGAGGGAGGTGCATTCTTCGATGCCTGCCATATTCTTGAAAGACCATAAAAACCACACAGTCTTTTGCACTGAATGACTTCTCCACCCACGGAGTAGCTGGGAGTGGGAAATGAGCACATCTTCCTCTAATTGCCTTGTGAACAACTAAATCATTGAAATGTGTTTAGGAACACAAGCAGGAGCAACACATACTCTACGACAAATAAATCCTACACATTTATGTCGTTACCTACAGTTCTGCCCCCTTTCCCCCCTCAACCTCCGGAAAACAGCCTTAGACAAATTAGAAACTTGCTGAAAATCTGCCTTTTCTAGGGCAGCCCCGGAAAGCTTAGGCACCACTTGATTTCTGAACACCCAAACCCTGAACACGAAGATGCCAGCTGGCCAGAAGAGAGAAGCCTTGTCTGAACAGGACAGGAACCAAAGGGCACATGTGCGTGCGCGCGCGCGCACACACACACACACACACACACACACACACACACTAATCCAGACACAGGAAGTTTGAAGCCTGATCCATGTGTGGAAAACAGCAATGTGGGAATTCAGGAAACAACACCAGAACTCTGCTCCAGGGCCAAGACCTGCTCGGCACTGGAGAGCCAAGTTACTCCTGGGGTACTTGTGAGCCTCAGGATTTTGGAATTAAATCAAATGTAGGGAAATAAAACTGCCTGCAAGTCTATTCCCCAAATACCTCCTCGGGTCCTGTTTGACTAACCTGGGT